GGGGCGCGGTAAGGTACCCGCTAACGGCACCCGCTGTCTTTTGCAGGCCCCCTCAAAACAGACTGTTAGCCATCACAGGCCCTGGTGGAGGTAGAGGGCGTGGGAGCTTATTGCTGAGGTAAGTAAGGAGCCGCAGAGGCGGGCAGTGGGGTCTCTTCCACACTTTACTCTGGCATTGGTTTGCTGTCCTGACTCTGGGGTGTTTTAAATTTCTCGTCTGACCCTCTGTTGCTTCTTGTACTGTTGTTTCAGCAAACAAGCACCAAAGCTGGCCTACAGGGCATTCGGGGTTTTCACCCCCCAAATATCGCTGCCTGAAATTTAAAGTACTTTCTCATTCTGAGTTATAAGAAGTTTAAACTGGTGGTTGTCCCTAACCCTGTCAGCTGTTAGCCTGAAAAATAAGGGGAGGCATCAAAGTTAAGGGAGGTGTTATGTGGTATCTGGGACCTTGTCTCTTTGAAGTCATTCAAAATCAGTCTCTCTGTAATTAAGAAGCTGGTAGCTGTTCCAGGGAGAACAGAAAGAGTTGAAGTCGACAAGAATATAAAACACATGTAGGTAAAACCACTAGTGTTTTGTTGTGGGTTTTCCTTTTTTTTTTCTTTTTTTTTTTCCCTCCCCAAGTAGAATCATAGAATCACCAAGGTTGGAAGGGACCTCTAAGATCATCAAGTCCAACTATCAACCCACCCTGACAAAACCACCTCTAAACCATGTCCCTAAGCACCACATCTACCCTTTTTTTAAACACCTCTAGGAATGGAGAATCCACCACCTCCCTGGGCAGCCTATTCCAATGTCTAATAACCCTTTCAGTGAAAAAATGTTTCCTAATATCCAATCTAAACCTGCCCTGACATAACTTGAATCCATTTTTTCTCATCCTATCACTTTTCACCAGGGAGAAGAGGTCAGCCCCCACCTCTCTACAACCTCCTTTCAGGTAGTTGTAGAGGGTGATAAGGTCTCCCCTCAGACTCCTCTTCTCCAGGCTAAACAACCCCAGTTCCCTCAGTCGTTCCTCATAGGGCTTGTCCTCCAGACCCCTCACCAGCTTTGTAGCCCTTCTCTGGACACGCTCCAGCACCTCTATGTCCTTTTTGTACTGAGGAGCCCAAAACTGAACACAGTATTCGAGGTGGGGCCTCACCAGTTCCGAGTACAGGGGGACTATCACTTCTCTAGTCCTGCTCACCACACTATTCCCAATACAAGCCAGGATGATATTCGCCTTCTTGGCCACCTGGGCACACTGATGGCTCACATTCACCTGGCTGTCCACCAACACCCCCAGGTCCTTTTCTGCTGGGCAGCTTTTGAGCCACTCTTCCCCAAGCCTGTAGCACTGCATGGGGTTGTTGTGACCCAAGTGCAGGACCTGGCACTTGGCCTTGTTGAACCTCATGCCATTGACCTTGGCCCATCGGTCCAGCCTGCCCAGTAGAATGAAAAGGCCAATTTTTGTTCAGTAATTCTTTCCTAATGGAGTATGTACTGGATTTTTATTTTTTTTGCATTTCAATATTAAACTGCTGGTTAAAGCTTAATACATCATGAAAACTATTGTGAACATGAACACTTGAACATAATAGGGCTCCTTGATTTAGTGTAGCTACTCAATTAAATAAGTGCAGAAATTCACGTTTAAATTAGTTGGTCCATAACCAAGCACGTTTAAACGCTTTATTGCAGTAGTAACAATAAATAGTGATGGAGCTGAGGAAAACTTATTGTTACGTCATGACCACAAAGCCAAAATACAGTTTGATTGTGGAGGTTTAAGGAGGACCTGGGGTTAGCTTAACTTGTTCTGAGATCACAAGTGTTTTCTTTTTAGGCGTGGATTCTCGGATAGTGGAGGAGGACCCCCAGCCAAACAGAGGGATCTTGAAGGGGCAACCAGTAGGTGGGTGCAAAAGCTGATGGAGAAAGCTTGCTTTATCAGAATGAGAATTTATAGCAGTAAATTTAAAATGCTTAGATTCAATACTGTTAATAACTGATGACTTTAACTGTCTTCTTCAGAGGTTACATATTCAAGACTTGTTGGAAATATGTTTGGATGATAGCGAATGATGGTAGTGAAATCTTTTTTTATACCTTATAGCAATATAAAGATTATAGCAATAATATAAAGATGTAGTGATACAAAGATTCTTGGAATTTTCTGGTTTACTTGGTGTAAAGTCTGCTATATTATATTCTGCTTAGTAGCAGATTTGTTTTACAGGAGACACAGTTGAATTATGACTGAGATCTCCTGTTCAATAAGTTGAATGTCTAAAGTGTGACAATGGACTCAGATTTTGAGCTTTCACATTTGAATGCAGATCCATCAGACGTGACTGATTATAGTGAGCTTCATTCTGTGGGCACTTACGTGCGATGGTAGTTCTTGACTAAAGCAAGGCTTGCTTTTGAATTTTTGAGTTAACACAAAGTGAATACTGTGAAACGGCTTACTAGTAGTACCAAAAAGCTGAGAGTGAAAGCTGAAAATAACTTATTTAATGCTCTGTCTAGTTGTTCTTTGTTAAAGCCTGAGTTCATCCGAGTTCTCACGTCCTAAGTTCTCTGCCCCTCCTCACCTGGTTTCTTGGTATTTGGCTTAAATAGCATTTCCCATTTGAAAAATCATACCAACCTTTATATCTTGATGCATTTAAATCTGTCTCATGGTCCCATTATACCGGTAGCCATTTTAAAGATTCCGGAAAAAAATATAAATGCAAACATTAAAAATGAGAAATAAATTCCAAAGGTATTCTAAAAGTCAAATATGGTAGTAATGTGGGCTTTTCTGTTTTACTTTAGTGTTCAAATTGTATTAAAACTTAAACTGTTTTCTCTCACTGATTTTTACCAACAGTAGGTTCTGTCTGTAAAATGCTACTTACTGGTCATTGGAACAGTGGGGAGATTTTTACTGGAAGCATTGGGTCTTCTGATTAGATATGCAGAATTATATTTTTCTCATGTTGGAACAGATGCTGCCCTACGTATATGTTCTCTAGTGACCACTAATGCTCTTTCTTCCTCAGGCTGGGTGGAGAACGTCGGACAAGAAGAGAATCACGCCAAGAAAGCGACGCAGAAGATGATGATATTAAAAAGGTAATACATGATAAATAGACCTGTGCAGGAAGAAACTTACTTATCTGGAACATGAACAAAGTAGTTTGTTTTTCTTTGTTGTAGCCAGCGTTGCCATCTTCTGTTGTGGCTACCTCCAAAGAGCGAACACGTCGAGACCTTATACAGGATCAAAATATGGACGAGAAAGGAAAACAAAGGTATGCAGAAATCTCTTTTTAAGCACTAATGCGGTACTTCTGAGTGCTAGGATAGGAACTAGCTTTAGATTTAACAAGTATTATACAGATGCTATTATGTATCAAAGATTATGTTGAAGAAGTACTATGATGGTATAAAACTGATTTTTAAAAATACTCTCTCAAAATACTTCAGAGCAGTAACAACACACCATTCACTTCACGTAACTGACAGGAGTTCTGCTTCTCAGGCCACCTACAGGAATAGATTTGCTAGTGCTATTGTAACTGATAGTCTTTGAGGAAGACAGAAATATATATAGCTTCATTGGTTACTTAACATTTTGGACTGTTACAAATGTCTTGGTAAATCGTTTATTTTGTTGGTTGAAGGAGGCTTTTGGGTGGGGGGGTTTCCCCTTTTTTCTTTTAATGCAGTAGTTCCATCACATGTTTCTCTTCTCTTATTACTTTCAGACTCATTATTGTGCATACAGTCAGACCTTCCTTTTGCCTGCTTCTTTTTAGATTCCTTCTATGTTTATCTCCTTTTTTCTATATTTTTATTTGTGTCAGGGTAGTTCATAAAAATTCTTGCTGAAATGCAGTTCTATTGGGAAGAGATGTTGGAAAAGCAAATTTGCAACTGTGTCCAAAGTCTTGGACTCCATCCACTTCAGTCTGCAGCTCACCTGGTGTAGTAATAACCCATACCTCAAATAAATAGAAAAATGATAGTTGGAATAAGGAACTACAGAGAGCTTCTCGGATAAGGGCCGCACATGATTTAGCACAGAAAAGACGCTTTGCTTGCTTTTACAGTTACAGCACCACCAACAGATTGCTGTTGCTTCCACCATCAGTTTCCAACTGCTTTCTTCACAGAAAGACTTTCAAAATTCTTAGTGGACTTCCTGGAGCTTCAGGCACTAAAACTTTGTTTCCGCAGAATTGTAGTTTAACCATTTTGCACTTCAGTAGTCTTCTGGGGAGATGAGAAAACCAGTATTGATCTCTGTGACTTGTATGGAAAGAGGCTCTTTAAGAGAAGCAGCATCCGTTGAATTCTTGATTTTGCTCAGTGTCTTCTGGGATATCATTCATATACAAATACACTTTGAGTAACCTCTAGCTCCCAATTCTTTATTTGTTCCTATTTCTACTGTTTAATATACAAGTACCTTTACCTTTCCATGTCAGGTTTGTGCCATTGTAGTAGAGTGATACTGAGTGAAGAGAGTAGCATTTCCTTTCTCTCTTAATTGGGTAAAAGTTCAAGGCGATTAAGAGAGTCTGCCTCTTGCTGTAAAGGCTTAATTTGGGATTAAATGGAAAGAAAGAAAAGGTGGTGAAATTCAAGAAATTAGTTCTTGTTCAGAAGAAAGGAATTCCTTGAAGAACTTTATTTATTTAGGTTGTCTCAAACAACACTTAATTGGATGAGAGCAATTTTGGTTTCATCCAGCAGCATCTCGTTGTAGAAGATAATTGCTAGGCAAACTGTGACAGATAAGCTTTCACTCCCCTGTGGCTCCAGTTCTCCTTAATCCTCTGAGCCGGGCAGGGAGGGTATGTTTTTCAGAAAGCTCAATGACCTTCCAGTTCCTTATTGATAACTCATACTGTATTTACTCAACCTTTTCTTCAGTACTGTCTGCTTTTGGGTTTGTTTTTTTTATATTTCCTTAGTGACATTATTTCCAGATGTAGAATGTGCAGATTCCAGTTTTCCCAGTGCTATATTATGGCTAAGAGCTGTGTCTTACTCTTAAAATATGATATGTCACTGTAACTTATATCCTCAACTGTTGGCACAGTCAATATGTGTTCTGTTGCTTATGGCCTTGAGTAATACTGAGCCTTTAAAAATAAACATCTCTTAGGTGGAAAGTTTCTCTGATTGTTTGTGCAAATAAAAATCTTGGTACTTCTTTTTGTTTTTATTCAGGAATCGACGTATATTTGGCTTGTTGATGGGCACTCTTCAAAAATTTAAGCAGGAGTCCACGGTTGCTACTGAGAGGGTACTTATTTTTACTTCTATCAGATTGTAAATAATAAAGCAAAATTGTGTGGTTAAGCTGCTTCAAATAGGAATGAAAATTCCCCATAGTGTAGGTTGCAGGTGCAACAAATTGGTAAGCGTGCATGTAGGTTTTTGTTTGGTTTAGTTTAGTGGAATTTGGGTGGGAGGCAGGAAGGGGTGTCTAACAATTCTGTGACTTTACACTATTTCTGACCATTGCAGAAGTGAAAAGGCAACATTTTGTTCCTTGGTTTTTTTAATTGCTGTACATTTTTAAAATGTGTAAAACACAAAATAGGTTATCTTTTTTCTTGTTTATAACTATTTAATAGGTCATAGGCTACTTCTGTAAATAATGGTGATTCAGTATTGCTGAAGCAATGCCCACCCTGATGTGTTCCAGGTGTTTAAATTATAACCAAGTATACAGAAACTTGTGGTTGTATTATGCTGTTTGACTACAAGCGGCTTCCCTCTCCCAGTATAGATATCAAGAATTCCATTTTTAATAAATGGATGTGTGATTGTACTGGAGTGAAGGCTTTGCATAGTTTAGTGATAATTTCAAAAAACTTGTGTATAGGATGGTGGTAAAGTTATTCCCAGTATGCCATTTTAAATTGCGAAGGGTATGGTGTTTGTTTCCTGTTGCCCTAAATGGGTTATTCAGTTAATACTGATAACCTTTAGATTAAAAACAGTGTTTGAAAGTTCTGCTTTCAGCAGTCCGGTGGAAGCAGATACAAAGTCTTTAAACTTAAAGCCTTTTCTGTGTAGCGTTAGCATAGCTGGCTTGCAGTGTTGGTATTGATTTCAGATTCAGTATTTGGATATCCTGCTGTTTTATCTAACTTGTCATGTAGCACATGAGAAAGGACCAAAGTTCTCTGTTGCCTGCTTGCCTTTAGAACAAGAAACTATTGATTAGGATGGTCTAGAAACATGGAGTCTTGTCTAATTTATAGTAGTGTGTGTTTGCATAAAGAGACTTTGAGGAGTTACTGCTCTTTGCAACGTTTTTCCTGAGAATTTGTATAGGCATTGTTCTCTTCATAACATAAAAACTTACTATAAATCAAAGTAGAGGCCTGAGGAGTTTTATGGCACTTTTTTTTTTGTCCAGGCAGTAAATTGTATTTTTTTATTAGACAACTATTGTACAATCTAGGCATATGATTGTCTAGAACATACAAACAGGACATTCCTGGTGTACAGTAATGTATCTAATTAGCGATGAATATGCTGGAAGCATTCACACTGTAATTTGTTTTGTTGGTCACAAACACCAGTCTGCAGTCCTTCATTTGTCTCTGGGGGCATTTACTTCTTTTTCCTTCCAAGTGGAATACCTGAAATCCATTTCTCTTTTATTTTTTTCTGCCATTGTGGAAACAAAACAAGTTGAAGCTTGTATTGAAAATTCAAATCCAAACTGAATGATAGAAAAGCAGACAGAAATTCACAGGGGCCCATAATTTTATATCTAACCCACAAAAAATTAGATGCCAGCAAGCAATGACACTCTTTTCTTCCATTACCTGTAATTAGGGGATATTTCTTAATGTGTTTTTAAGAATGCCTTTAATGGTGTAAATAATTCAAAATTTTAATTGGACCAAACCAGAACACTTTCTTGATTTAGAAAAAATATATAAGATACTTCTTTGTTTACCTTAGCAAAAGAGACGACAAGAAATTGAGCAAAAACTTGAAGTGCAGGCAGAAGAAGAAAGAAAGCAAGTTGAAAATGAAAGGCGAGAACTATTCGAAGAGAGACGTGCTAAACAGACAGAGCTGCGGTTACTGGAGCAAAAGGTTGAGCTTGCTCAGTTGGTGAGTTTTAGTTTTGCTCTTGATCTTTGTCTTGTTTAAACTATTCGTGTGTATCTTAGGGTTATATTTTTTTTCATTTCTCAGCAAGAAGAATGGAATGAACATAATGCTAAAATAATTAAATACATAAGAACGAAGACAAAACCCCACTTATTCTACATACCTGGCAGAATGTGTCCTGCTACGCAGAAGCTGATGGACGAGTCACAGAAAAAGATGAATGGTAAGTGGTCTTGGTGATACAAAGGCCCTTGTTCTTCCCTCCCTTTGATATTTGCTGTACACTTTTAAGTCCTTCTGCTTAAATACATGAATTTCATGGTTAGGGCAAACCACGTTTGTGCACGGGTGTTCATCATAAGTGAACGTTACTCTTTCAGTGACTTATTTTTATGTTGGATATGCTTTGATTCTCTTACAAGAAGTCAAAAGAGGTGTGTGAATAATCTCAGAGGTATGTGTTTAAAACATAGTCCTTTATATTAGCTTGAGTATCCAGATGTATGCCAGTGCAGCAACTTAGTTTTTGAAAAGGCAGATTCTGTGGATTGAAGGCCTAAGGAAATGCAGGTTTTTACAAAGGATTTGAGAAGTGTTTTCTTAAGCACAGCACTAGAACTTTATGATGACTTTTTTTTTTACCTTAATGTGTGTTCGTTTCTGTTTCACAGGATGACTATGTTTTTCTTTTGGAAAACAATTTAAAATACTGCGGTCAATGGTAGTCCTACAGTTCTTTTTTATTAAACTGAGAATGTATTGGTTGGTTGTTTTTTTTCTTAAGGAGCTTTTCTTCATTGTGTGGGGTTTGGGGGTAAGAGAAGCTAGCTCACCTGTCTGAATAGCTTACATTATTTAAGCTTTCTTAATACCTAACCAGCTTTTTGCTGATTCTTACTGTCTTTTGTTTACCTTAGGAAGTGTAACCTTGTTAATATATAAATACCAGGAAATTAAGGTATTATTTTGATATACTGTCGGTTGGATTGATTTTAATGAAGTCAAAACCTCTTTTAGTTAGCTTAGATTTAGGGCTTTACTGTTCTGATATTCAGCTGAGCTGACTGTCCCCTTTGCTTTGTTTTCTTAAGGTAACTAGCAGTCTTTGTCATGATGCATGAATGGCTTGCTACTTCAGAATGAATAAGGATGCAGTATTTATAAGTTAAAACAATTTGATAACTTATTAGCTCGTAATTAAGGGGAAAATAGACTTCAGCGTCTGTAGATTATCTGACACTATTATTTGTGCATTTATTCCATAGCACTCTTTGAAAGCAGGCGAAATGAATTTGCAGAGCAGATTAACAAAATGGAGGCCAGGCCCAGAAGACAATCTGTGAAGGAAAAAGAACATCAGGAGGTGCAGAATGAAGAAAAGAAGGAAGAACAGAACAAGGAGCAGGAAGAGGGTAAGGTGGCTCAGCAGGTGGAAGAGTTGGAGACAGGTAATCAGCACAATGACGTAGAAATGGAGGAGGTAGGGGAGGAAAAGGGAAAAACAGGTTCAGGGCATAGTGATGCAGAGAAAGAACAGGAAGACGATGAACAGAAACATGAAGTGGAGATTAAGGTAGAAGAGGCTACTGAGGTGAGGGAGAATGACAAGCAACAGGATGGTCAGCATGAAGAGGTCACAGTTGTAAAAGAGGAAAGTGAAAACATTCAGCCGGTGGATAATGAGCAGGAGGTGGCTGAAATGAATGAGGCAGATAGTGTAGAACCTGTAGAAAATGAAAATGGCAAAGAAGTGGAACCAGAAACAGAGTGTGATGCTCAGCCAGAAAAAGTGTGTAATGTTCCTTCTCCTGAGAAGGAGGAGGATATTAAAGCAGAAATTGAAGCTGAACCTGAAGAAAAACAGGAGAAGGCACCTGAAGCTCAGCCAGAACCTGTGGCTGAGGCTCCGTCTCAGCCACAGTCTGTGCCACTGCCACAGTCACCTCAGTTGTCTCAGGCCACTCAGGATACAGAGTCCCAGGCAGACAAGGATGAAAATGCTGTGGTGTCTGTAAAGGTGGTTGAGGCACAGACAGAGCAGAGTCAGACGCCGAGCGTAGAAATTAAGAGTAAGACTAGGAGTAGAAGCAGGGGTAGGGCAGGGAACAAAACTGGTAAGAGTCATAGCCGTAGTAGCAGCAGCAGTAGTAGCAGTAGTACTTCAAGCAGTACTAGTACTGGAAGTAGTTCCAGCACTGGCAGCAGTAGCAGTCGGAGTACTTCCACCAGCAGCAGCACTACAAGCGGAAGTACTAGCAGGGACAGTAGCAGCAGTAGCTCTAGCAGTAGTGAGAGTCGGAGTCGAAGCCGAGGAAGAGGGCATAACAGAGATAGAAAACGCAGAAGGAGCACGGAGAGGAAGCGAAGGGATGCTTCAGGAGTAGATAGAAGTCACAAGTCCTCAAAAGGTGGGAGTAGAGATACCAAAAGCTCAAAGGAGAAAAGTTCAAGATCTGACAGAAAGAGGTCTATATCAGAAAGTAGTCGGTCAGGCAAGAGAACTTCACGGAGTGAAAGAGACCGTAAATCAGACAGGAAAGACAAAAGGCGTTAACAGAAGAGACCAAGCTTCCTTAGCCTAATCTTTGCAGCGGAAGATTATTTGAGTGAAAGGATTCCTTGTAAGGAGGAGGAGAAGGCTGCCTTAAGAATTGCATGCTGTAAAAAATCTTTTGGAAAAATGCAGACTGTTTACCAGGCATTCTTGTACTTTTTACATAATTTTGTAAAAGGTTACCAAAATTATGTGAAGTTCCTGAAAATGTAAAAATAAAAGATTAACACTCCTTTGCATCTTTTTTTAAATATCCTGTACTCATTAAGATCCTCTGTATATTTTAATAGGTAAACCTTTAAGTAGGTGTGATCGCTTCTTCTGTATCATACACTTTTTTTTTTTGTAGAAATAAATGTGCGTTTTAAATAAATTGTTTGAGATGTCCTGTTGACAATTAAATTCCCCTTTTAGATCATACGTAGGGAAGCAATGTTGCAGGAAACGTAAAATTTTGCTTTTCCCCTCTATTCCTTGCAAGAATGGGAATGTTAGGACCCAGTAAAGGGAGTACTCTCTCCACTGCTGGGTAGGAAGGGAAAGTAATTGATTTGGATCTATACCTTTTGTTTTCTTCTGTAATGACAAGCTCTTACTCAATTCTATCTTCCAGTTTTAGAAAACTTTTTCCTATCTGTAGGCAAGCAGTGATTAAATGGGAATGTTAACACTGGCCGAGATAGCTCAAGTCAGTCTGGAATACCGCTCTTACCTGCCTTCTTCAGGTGCTTTGGTAGTATTTACATCTATGTTCTGGAGACAGCTAATATGTTTAATGGTGTTGCTTGCTTTGATGGCCAGTGCAGGAAAGATTTCAGCTTGCTTCTCCACCAGGATTCTTTTTATTTTAGTTGCAGACTAATCTTTGATCCCTTCATACCACTAGGAATAATTACATTGCAGTGTTGGAGTTACCTGGGACTACCTAATACTAATGTTGTGTGCGTGCAAGAATGCTTTCTGAATGTATTTAATACAACTTAAGGTGGTATGGTGTTATCTATGAAGGTGAATACTGTTTTTATATAATTTTGTATGGAGAACAATAACATCTGTCGCTCTGTTCTGTACATGTGCAAATAAATGTGGCTTTGTAGACTACTCGATGCCTATGATGTTTTCTATAACATAGTTGTATTGCCTTAGTCTTTCTACATTTAAAGCATGAATCATAATTCCTGGTCACTGTACCTTAGAAGCTCTGTATCCAAAATTGTTCCTATAGGCTTTAATTAATGCCTGTTAACTGAATATGAAACACTGCTATAATCCGTCTTGTCTTGGCATTCTTGTATCTCGTATGCCAGATTGCAGACCAGGAAGTCCTGGAAAGATTTCAGAATGGAAATTACATGTAAGCTTATTTTAGTGTATGAAATGCCATATATACTCCACTTTTCTGGAACACAGAGTGGACTTTTGCAGAGCTCTAGTTTCGGAGGGTGTCAATTTTTGGATTTTTCATGTGAACTCAGAGTAGTGGCAGACTTATGTGTCCTGAAGTGCTGAACTTCCTGTCTTAAATGTGTCTAGGAAGGGATGAAGGGGCCTGTTCTTTTAGCACAAATAGACACAGGGAAAACTCCTCTGGCTTCCCTCTTCTGGATAAGTTCGATACTTTATTGTGATTCTTCAGTCCATTTGCTGCTTCAGTATCCTATCTGTCTCTGCTTTTCCACAACTGAGATTTGTTTTTAGTTCTTGCCAGTAGTCTCCAACCATACTTCCTTCCCTTCAGAGGAATGTGGTGATTTACTGTGCCTTTTGTTTGTTTGTTTGTTTTTCAAGAACAAGCAAAAGTTCAAATGCCTTATTGAAGATGTTAAACACAGCAGTTTACCACAAGGAACAAAATTTTATACTGAGTAGTTGAGTAAATGTTACTCTTTCACGTGTTTCAACTAACTTCACATTTCAAATTGCCTTTGGAAGCTGTTTTGTCTTTTTTTTTTTTCCCCTGGCATTGAGTATTTTTAATGTTTCTTATTTTGAGCTTAATTGAGTAATTCAGCTGTAGTGTATTTACTGGCTGATACTGTAGTCATTATGCAAAGCTAGAGAAGTAGGTTTCAAGTCAGAAGCCACTGGTTTCAGAGGAGCATATTAACAGCATTTATAAAAACAATGTGGGTCCTGGCAAGTAGCTAGGGATTGGATTGATTACATTGTTTCAGGTTATATTACAGGCAGCGATGTATTTTTGACAAGGTGAAAATACTGGAGTTTTGTTGAGTATGAAGCTGGTGATGTATTTGATAGGTTAATGTTTGTTAGAGGAAACTTGCTGCCACAGTAAACTGTGCCATTAATTAATAGTTAGCCTTGCTAAATCTAAGGAGCTCAATGCAACATAAACATCAGTGTGTGATAACATCGTAAGAATGAAGTTTTCTAAAAGCTAGATATTCCAACCAATATTCCACTACAGAAATAGTATAAGATAGTATACTATTAACACAATATTGCATAAAGACCTATGTCTTCTTAACGCACTAGTATTTTTAGTAATTGTTACGTTTGCCTTCAAGGTCTCATCCTCTGACCCTGAGACAATTTCAGAGCTGTGAATAGGGCTGAGACCATGGGTGCAATTTCCTTCCTCTGTTTCCAGTCTGCTGTTTCAAATAGCTGACAATTTCAAGACTGAATTTGATGCAACAGTTAGGGGTTTCTGAGAATTAAGTGCAGATAGCATAGGGGTAGGAAACGATTAAAACATTTTCTTATTTCCCTTCCCCATAGCAATGAGTAGAGATCGAAGGAAAAATACGTTGTTCACTTTTCACTCAAGTAATGTGGGAAAAGGAACGATCAAAAGGGGAAAAATTAAGAGTGAAGTTGAGATGCTTTATATGAGTGGGCAACATACCATGTATGCTGTGTGCCTGTCTTGTGGAGCGCTTCCATCAGATGGTCCCTTCTAGCTTTAAGTATAACTTTAGAAAGTGGTTTGGGTTTTGGGGTGTTTTTTGTTTTTTTTTTTAAAAAAAAAGCTTTTATACTGTGTGCTGACTCTATAACATTTACTTGTATTTTCCTTAGTCCTGATGCACAGACAAACTGGAAGTCTCCAAGAATATGTTTTTTCTATGATGCTCCACTCAGAGTCTTTGACAGAGTAGATTTTACCCAGACTGTTCATTAATTACAAGATGAAACGTGACTTGTAAAAGATACACCTCTTCAAATTCCTGCTTCTTTACTTAAGGTGATGTCTTTGTGCTTAGAACAGCTTCATTGTGCATGTTCAAAGGAAACCTGAAAATAATTTTTCTGCAGAAGGTAGGTATTAGTGAACTAAACACCCCCCCACCAGCAAAAGTAATTTCCAAAACCAGTAAATTTGCAAATAGATCTCTAGAGGATCTTTTGTTTATCAGGAAAGTAATGGTCTTGTGGTTAGGTCCCAGTTACAATTTTGAGATCTAGGTTCAGCTGCTGATTTTGTAGCAATTACTGTGGTACAACAGGACAAACCTGTTCATTTTATGTACAAAACTATTCATTTGATGTATGTCCCACATCTTTAAAATGAGTTTCACTGTTCAAAATAGTCTTTACCTGAGACTACATGTATTTATGATGGGATCAAACGTTGTGGCAGTGGTGTACGAGTAACACAGAGATCTGTTTTGGAGAATATAATTTTGCTCTTTCAGACTTCCCCCCACCCCCACCCCCCCCATCTCAATTTTATAGCAAACCTGTGTTTTACTGCAAACCTTGTTCAGGCAGTTGTTATTAGGTGACAGTGTTCTATTATATGGCCAAATGTGAGCCATTCAAAGCTTGGAAACATATTATCAAGATTCAAAGTAATGTAAGTCACAAGTTCCATGATTTTCTAGAAATGTGCTGTTAGTTGTCATGCTTGGAACCTTTTTTGAAATAGAGAAGCTATAATGGCTTTTTCTTGCTCTTTGTTGTTCTGGCTAAGAAAGTTGTTTTAAATCTGGATGATGAATGACTGTTACCTGTTTAGATTTGTCTAACTGGAAGAGTGAATTAGTGTTTCTTTTCTTCCTTTGATCTATTTTTTAGAAGATACTTGTTTAAAAAAAAAAAAAAAAAGGTTTTGGCATGACATTTGATTCAATGTAAAAGTTGATGTGTATTTTCATCCAAATATCCTAAGTCAAGAGAACTATATTTTTAAAGTGCTTTTGCCATGGACTATATTCTTCCATGTATTGGTGCAATATTCTACACTGTGAAACCCTACATCCTGTATGGAGCCTTTCGGTGCTAATCATAAAAATATAACCAAAGTTGTATATATTGTTGTTGTTATAAAATAGGTGTTGACTTTCATGTACTTAAGGAGAACTTTTACCAACTTATGATTTGCTTTGGGAATTTTATAGTTAATGCAAGTACTGCATGGTCTAGAAAATGCAACATCTCTTGTACTTACACAAAATCACATCTTAAAAGAGCCACCCGGTGTGCCATACTACTTATTTATTTAAATTAGTTTATTTAAATTACACCATTAATTCTAAGTTGATCCTTCTGTGAATTTTAATACATTATAAGGGTTCTCTGCATTTCTAGCTCAGTAGTTAAAGTTGCTAAGATGTCACTGCAAGTAAAGTTAATAATTTCATCCTAACGAAAGCTGTTGAAAAGAGATGCTGTTCTTTCATTAGCATTGCATGTATAATAGTACTCACATTTGTTGCTTCAGTTCTGCAGAACAGAAATTAACTGAAGTCTCACTCTAGCTGCTACACAGCTTTCAACTTTGTCCTTTGGAAGCCAGCTATGATTAACTCTGAATCTTTGACTTCAGTTCAAAGGTGATTAGAAGTTATGTTTGTGTAACATCTGCAAGTATAGGATTTACACCTAGAAGAAAAGAATATTTGATATTAACATGACTTATTGAAGTTACTAGAGGAACAAATAAGACACAACAGAGATCAGAGCAGTGCTCATCAGCCTTTTAACAGCTTCAAACCTAGAAGAATCATTGTTGAGACTAAGCTATACAATGAGCCGTACCCAGAATAACTTGAAAGCTGCAGATATAAATTAAACTAAGTAGCAAGGATGAGCTGCAACATTTTATGCCCGCACAAAGACCTGAGAATTAGTTTGGGTATCCATATGAAACTGAAGTCAGAGCTGTTTTCAGGGCTATTTTGATAAATACAGTAACAATGTGCAGATCTCAAGGTGTGGGTCTGGTCATTGTCCTCCCACACAAACTTGCTGAAGTACATTATTTTA